AATAAGTTCTTAAACTTATTTTTTCTTAAAACGTAGAACAGCAAACAATTGTCTCTTCTAGTCACGACCTTCACACTCATTTGCTGCTTGTCGTAGCATGCTAGGCCTTATAAAATTTCACATGTGGAGGATGTGAAATAACCAAAAAATCATAAATGACTATTGATACCATAGAATTCCACTATAATTTATCAAGCTTAGTAAATAAGCTATATTTGGGTCTAAAATAATAGGAAATTTCAAACAGACTAAAAACTCACCTTACCAGCTTGAAGATTTGTATCCAAAGAACAAGGTGACATCCTAATACTTGAAAATGGCTGAAAAAGCCACTTGAGGTTACTAACATGTCATAGACAGAAGTAAGTGTATATAAGGGAGCATTTCCAATATTAGAAAGAGATGAGCAAGACCACTGTGTTTGATTCAGTACATGAGTGATATCTCAGCAAATAGAAAAGATAGAAGGTTCTTATTTTATATTCTAGCTTGTTAATATTGGTAATTTGAGTTCCTAATTCATACAAAACTATAGATTTTGTATTTTGACATCACAAACATCTAATTTGAACCAGTGCTGCATTTAACATACCACATGACATACAAAAATCAATATTTAGGTGCGAGTTTTTACTATTTACTTTTAAATCAAGAAATTAACTAATGTATAATTCTAAAATTTAAGTTCATAAAAATTTGAATGTAAGTCAACAAACATGGCCTGTGACTTGTGTGGAAAGGGTTAATTGTGTTTACTTTTTATTGATTATATATACACGTACATTATGTAATTTTTAAGAAAGCTAACATAAAAACATAGTACTGGGATCAAAATATCAACTGCATTTATGTTAATCATTTTTCTAATAACCAATAACATTGTAAAATCAATTTCGGTTTATTCTATTATTTCCTCAAAAGGGGGCTGAAGGCTGCCTGGAGGGATCATCTGTTTTAACCACTCACACCATTAATATTAGTAGTGCGTTGTCTAGACGTCACGTCAGTAAAACGTGCACATGCCGTGATTCACAAGAAGAGTTATGCACTGTGTAGGCTACAACACAGCATAACATCTAGTAATTAAGAGGTATCTTATTTTTTTACTGTATGTGACAAAGTGCCAATAACAAAATGTATAAATTAAACTTGTATCTTCCAGTGAAGTGATATACTGATCTAACTTTCTTCTTTGAAAGAATGCATTTTTTTATGGTGAAGCTTATTAACTAAGCCACATATTAGCTGCTTCCTAACACCATTTACTTCTTTTTATTTTCCTACAGGAACTGTCTCCTTCCTTCTGTATTCAAAATGCTGGAAGTGAACTAGACCGCCTTCCCACTGCTTCAACATGTATGAACTTACTGAAACTTCCAGAATTTAAAGACATGGAAACTCTTCGTTTGAAGTTGATGTATGCTATTAAGTCAGGAGCAGGATTTGAATTAAGCTAGCCAGAAACATCACAAGATATTAAAAGTTGTTTGCCATGAGTGAGTCCCTAATAAAGTTTATTACTTATTGGTATCTATTTTTCAATTATTTTAACAATAATAAATATTAAAGCCAGCTAAATTTTTCAGTTTACCATCTATTTCCAATCCACAATTTGTTTGAAGGAGTAAGTTCATAAATATTTTTATTTGTTTTTTCTATAGAAAACTCCTGTAGATCCTTCCTGTGAAAATCTGAAGACCACTTGGCCATTTCAAGATAGGACATCAGAGTATTCTCCCTATGATTAAGCTATTGAACTGTACATACATGATCAACACCCTTGTATAAAGCTTGAAAATAATACTGGAAGTATTTGAAATTTTTTTAATGTCATGCCTGTACACAGTAAATACTGGTTTGAACTATTGATGGTTTCGTTACTTAAATCTAATTATAAAGTTGCTACCTTCATCTGAGTTTCTTCTTCTTCTTACGAAGCACAGTATGCACTATCTGAAACTTGCCAGAGAAAAATGCAACCCTCTGCAGCAGTCAGTAAACAAACTTTTGTTGGATGAAAGCTTAGTGAATGAACAACCTTGGAGCCTTCATGATGAATCTTGTTATGCAGTTTTCTCTGTAATATATATATATAGAGAGAGAGTACAAAATAAGAACCTGATATTTTAAAATTCATAAAGTCCTTTCAAAATACCAATTTTACTAAATACTTACTTGCCCATAGATAAGAGAACCTAACTAAAATATTGGCCTCTACAATCTTGGAATAAAATACTTTTCATTATTACGAAAAATATCTTACCTAAGAGAGAAAAAAAAAACAGTAAATCTTAATTTTGTTTTATTTTCATGTTGTAAACTTTCACAATTCCCTTAATTTTTCATGATATTTTGTGTCCAGTCTTTTTATATTCATGTTACTTTGATTTATTACATTATATGAAAATCAGCAAGTCCCGAGACAACAATAGACTCTTCTGACAAACAGTCAAATGAAATTGCCAAATTATAACCTCACCCCCTTCTGAAATGGCAGCTAGAAATTCCATGATTTTTCAAAGGTCCTCATCTTCATATAAGAATGTATTCTTACTTCTATAAATTTTCTTTAAAATTTTGTCCTTGATCAGATTGTGTTTAATGGTTTTACATAATTTTTATGAACTTCTGTAAAAAAGTGATACTGATCAATGCTGCATACAAGTCAAGAAAATGGATGTTAATGATTAGGCAGAACATTATTTCTGTTTTTTAAAGAAGAGAATAAGTTATAGCTAAAGGTTTTTAGACTATTGGATTTCTTGAAATTGAGAAATTCTCTACCAATGTATTAATAGCTTGTAGTACATGATGATGCATACTAATAAAAGTAAAAAAATCTTCCAATTGAGGACATCCAAAGGAATAGGTGCTAATATGATACAGTTGATGTACTGTACAAATTCCATCAACACATTAGAGATAAAATATTTTGTTAATAATTCTACCACGAAGTGAGTAGCTACTAAAAATGCATTTCCACTTGAATAACAGAAAACCTTACATCAATCAAATCCCAGCAATAAACAATTCCATCTTCTGATCCAGAATAGATGCTACTGTCATCATTACTTAAACAGTTGTCTATACGGTATTTTGTATTCTTGTGACCTTGGTACCTGAAAAAGTATGATATATATAGATATCAATCTGAGAATTTTAAAATATCTTGATACCTTTTAATCATAAAACCCTATATGTAGTTTTATTTTCTTAGTTCTGCATATAAAAACGTTTTGTTATTTAATACAAGTGCTCATAGTGATATATGTTGGATACTATAGTAATAATTAGTAAAATCATTATTAATGCTACAAAAACACAACATTTTTTATGGACAAAATTTTAGTTTCTGTGCCAAGGCTGCAGTTGATCTGTTACAATACATAAAAACTTCAAATCTAACACAAGAACAATTTGCCTTTTGCAAAAAACTAGATCCTTCTACATTACAGAAGTGTAAATTGCATGGTAATACTACATAAAAACAAATACTTACTCATTGAGCAACTCTCCTGTGCCTTTATCCATCAACCTTAAAGTACTGTCCAAACAGCTAGCAAGTATACACTGAGAGTCTTTGGTAAAAGAAACACTAGTGATGGAATCTATATTAAAAGAGGACAAAAACATGGTTTTATAATATAACAAACCCCCTCAATAAATTCAGTCTTTGGTCTTTCAACTTGTTATGAAACCCTCTGTACCTCAAAATGATTAATCACATACTGTTTTTACATCAATTCTATTAAATGTTAAAGCCAAATTAGTGTGTTAATATTAATGCTGTAAATTATGATAACAAAAATTAAAGATAAAATAATTGGAATGATTTCAATCCTAAAGGAAGTACACAACTTACTTCCTAAATAATCTGTTCTTATCTCTCCTTTACGCAAATCATAACAACGGATTTTACAGTCTAGTGATCCACTTAGAATTTCTTGGCTGGATACATCTAAACATGTCACACTGTCTGTAGCTTCATCCATAACCTAAAGCATTAATTATGAAATTCAAGAGTTTTTATCTAGAGAAAAGTTAGTCTTAAATGTATGGTACCAATTCAATGATTTTGAATAACTTTTAAATCATTAATATTTGTGAGTATATGTTTTGTAAAGAAATACTTCTTGCTATATTTTATTGTAAAATTCCCATAGAAACACAATAAACATGAAAGTTACAACGTCTTTGGAATTATTACCAACCTACTAACATGATACCTATTATAAATTACAATTTTTGTTTGACAAGTAAACTATGTCAGGTTTTATGATATAACAAATATGTTTGAATGCATCATCAATCCAGTTCTAATATCTGAGGAACAATACACAAATTTTATAAAATATAGTATTCACTTTACAAACAAGATTTGTTGGAAGCTGCCACAAGTAACATTTTGTATGATTATTGTGCTTTGAATGTCATTGGTGGTAGGGGGGAAGCAATCTCAAACTCTTTTAGTAATGAATAATTAACTACATTAGGGTAGTAAAAACAACACTGGATCTATTTGTGTTACATGAACGAACTCGACAAGGAATATAGTGCTAATAGCATTATAAAGGCTTTCCCTGCATTTTGATGGTGAAAAACAACCCTAGATACAATTTTATAAATAGCACAAAGAAACAGCATTTATATCATGAAATAAAGGCTCTTTGATTGGAAAAACTTTTTTTAGCATATTATTATCACCATCCTTATAAGTCAGATATGGGTAGAACATATACTTGCACTGATTCCTTACCCGTGACAAGTTTACAAACTACAATGCTTGTTCTTTAGGCTTATATTTGCTATCACGTAGTGTAGTCATATTTATTCCAAGAGGAAGTACAGACTTGAATATGTTAATCTAAGGATTGTTGGATAACATATTATGATGCTGGTTGCATTTAACATTGTCTTGGTCTGCTATGTCCTGTGTGGATGTTTTTTAATTTTCTTTGCTGTCTATGTTTGAAATCTACTGGAGATACTTTTCTGGTGGATATTAGTGTAGCTGAATACCACAACTAAGTTGGAGTGATTTACTTTTCTAAAATTAAGAAAGATCCAAATAGTAAAATATGTATTCATTTTTTGTAAGTGTTAAACAAGTAATCAAGGCAAGAGTTAATTTTAACATGATTACAGTAAAGGAACTATCAAAAAAATACATGGTGTTGTGGCAAACAAGTAGAAAATTGTATATATCACATGTCTAATGATTTAACCTTCAACTTGATTAACATAAAATCAGTATAACTGAAAACATATTTTCGTTTTTAACATGCTGGCTAACCTATAACATTGGCCTTTCTTGCATGATACCTGAACAGGATCTTTACTACGGCTACGACAGTCCCAAGCTCTAACTGTTCCATCAATAGAGGCTGATAAAACAATGGAAGACTCTTCATTAAACTTTACTGCATTCACCTTACCTGACAAAGAAAAAATCATTTTCTATATGACTTAGTACCTTTAGAAAATAATTATCTACGCTGATTTTATTCTGTATTGTGATACCATGAAATATTTTCTACTTTGTTGATGATATTGTTTTTCGGAGTATAGGAATTTACATATTTAGCAATACATCTGATTATGGCCAGTAAGAAAGGGTGATCTTTGCACATATATTCATTATATTTTCTGCAGATTGTCATTAAAAAAATTACTATTTCAAAGATCTAAAACAAACTTTATAATAATTGCATCTCTGATCCTATACCTAAAAGATAAACAAGTTTTTATGAGTTTCTTCTAACTTAAACTAGTTTTTAGTGCATTAAAAATTTTATCCTCAGATAATTACTAATTTGCCACATCAACCTGAATAATAAATCTTTAATTTGATTTTAAGTTCTTTTTTCTTAATCAATTATTGGGAGGTATCAGTAACGTTGTAACTAAAGTTAATAAATATTGGTCAGTTTACAAGCTACAACAACCAGGATTTTGAAATTTGGTAACATGTAGGTGTGTTTTCATCAGGTCAAATTATAAGGTTGGAAAAGTAGTTTAAGTCTGTATTTCTTAGCCCTGTGTTAAAACTATATCTGTAGAATGTTTACTCTTAACTGATGAAAGGAAGTACAAGCATTTTAAAATGTTGTAAAATCTTAAAAAGACAACTGCAGTTTGATAAACACAACTATGGGTTAAAACATTAATCATAAAATACTGCTCTACATGTATGATGTTTTGTAATAATTTTTACTTTTACTCAATGTCCAAAGAAACCTTCATTTATTTGGTTTACTTAGCAAATGTAAGCTAAATTTCTCAATCTCTGACATTTACTCCCAAAATTATGCTTTCTCCTAGCCTAATTTAACCATTTCACTGCAACTGCTTTAAACAAGTGTAAAATTTATGTGAGTTGTACACTGTATACAGCACTCACATTCAACTGCCTAAAACAGCCCGTACCCTATATGGGAATTCAGCAGTCAATGGGTTAAGTGAATTCCTGGAAAGCTAAGTGGCAGTCAAAAGAATGGCAATGATCAAGATTTCTTCAAACTATAAATCTACAACACAATCTTCATAATCATGCTTATTCTGTATAGTACATCTTCATACAAACTTACCAGCATGACCACGAAACTTCCGAATTGGATTTGCAGTTATCACATCCCACAAGAACACATGTTTGTCCATGCCTCCAGACACAATCTGACTATTATCACATGACCCTTGTGCATCAAGAACTTCATAGCCATGGCCTGAATACTTCTGGAGAAGTTTTTCTGTTATAGGGTTCCACAGTTTCAAACTCTTGTCACTCCCACATGTCAGACAGTAATTCCCATCAGCTAGTGTTAGATCGTAAAACACTATGTTACAAATGCATTTTTATAGGTTTCATTCAGTCAATTTGAGCTAAGAAACCTTTCTAATCTTACTTATAGCTAACAGTTCTAATTGGTTGTCTAGAATATTCTTTCCTATTTGCATGAACTAAAACCAAATTTGCATATTTCATTAAAGATAGAACCACAGGAAAAATTAAAAGCCAGCTATATTATAAAATTTACTGTGTGAATGTTGCATATCACAACAAATTTGCAATTTCTATACTAAAGTACTCAAAATAGTTCAACACCTCACAATGTTTATGCAATAACCACCCTAAAATGTACAACAAACATTTCCTCACTCTAAAAAATGTAGGTTTATGTGCTGAAATTCTCTTTCTACCTCAATTTGTTGTCGAGTTTGACTGTTTTTCAAAATCTCCATTTGCTAAAATGTACCATTATAAAAATATGGTTGATCTTCAATATGATCTTGGTCTCTGGGCTACATTCACCAAAAGTTAATCAACTGGACCTTGGAGAAAACTCTATCTTTATACCAACTTTTATCAAAATAAGATGAAAACTTTGAGTTATACTCTTCACACAAAACAATATACCCTTGCTACAGGACTGAGATAATTATGTTTCAATGTTGTAAATTTGAATAGAATTACATTATTCTGATGTTGTAGAGATATATCAGTGCAATTATTTGAAAAAGACTTATGCAAAAATAAATTAGTGAAGTTTGAATACCATATTTGCTGAATAATACTGATATTGTGGGGCATCTAAATACTTACATGAATAGGGTTTATATATTTACCTAAATAGGATTCAATGAAATGAATGGTAAGTTGAGCTTAAGTTTTGTAATTAGAACACCTGTGAATTTCGATTAAACACTATGCGTAAGATGATGCAAGTACAATTTATATGAAACCTTTGCATGAATTACTGTACTGCTCTATGAAACTAATTTCAAAAACAGAAATCAGGCATAACTTAGTATGATATAAAGAAAGCTCTCACTACTTTAGAACATCCTCCTTCTACACACACAACATCACTTAAACCATGCACCATGCCAGAAGGACTAAATACCTATTCCTGAAGCTTAACTTAAAATTTAGTTAACACTATGTATTATGGCCAAGCTTAGTGTACAAATAACTAAAAATATATGTTTTAAACATCCTCAGCAAGACTACAAAGCTTGGGTTACTACCCCAAGGTCAGCTGGTAGAAAAAGTAAGAAACATTAGTCATGAAAGCTTATTGCAAGGATACCACTCATTAGCCCTAAACTATGTATAATGAAAAACTCTCTCACACATGTTAGCAGTTTCATAGGAAGTGTATTAACAATATAAGCTATAAATAATGATTACAATGTTAGTATCATAAATGTGGATGGTTACACATTAAATACTTTTTTCAAGGAATCTGATGACGATGATGAATCAGGATTTACTTTATTACTTTTGGTGGAATCAAACAGAATAAGATTACCCACAAGAATAGACTATAACAATTAAGATGTAGTGATTGATAAGACATTATGACATATTTAGTAGTTGATATATAATATTATGAATAATAAAAACATATTACACAAACAATTCTCCTAACAGATAAAGTGCATCAACAGTGGTTTTTGAACATTTATGTCAGAATAATTAATTATGACATATTTACAGTTGATTTTATAGAAAAATAATGTTCTTGTTAGTAGTAGTCCCAAATTTGATAGTGGAAAACAGATAACTAGCAACCATTTGATAGTTCCTTTAAAAGTTGAGTTCAAAGCACAACTGAATGCAAAAAGGTTAAGCCAGTAGGGAGTGAAATCAGGACATTACTATGCTAATTGTGTCTCAATATACCAGAAATCTTATCTTAATATAAAGTGGCAAATCAATAAGGAACCTGAAACTCTCTAGATGAAATCAGATTCACAAAAGAACAGGCCAAAAAATGTGATGACAGTGAAGACAAAACACTATCTTCTTTAGGCAAGTGGCAATACTTCTAAGATAATAAAGAATGGTAACTACAGTACCATCCACAATAGATAGCTGAAAATATGTACATCTCTGTATAGAAGAAATATGCACCTTAGAAACTGAATGAATGACATCAAAATCTTTTTTATTCCATCTTTCAAGCCAACTATACTAAAAACTATGGAAGAGAATGTAAGAAGGCAGGAGTAGAAAATAATGATGGTGTCTGCAAATAATGCCAGACAATCTGCAGAGCCATTGGCAACTGTGATCACAACCCCCTACCTCTGCTAGAATTCAACAGTTGTAGGAGTAACTATGACTGAAAAGATAAATTATCGTATGGGGGGTAAACTGCAAATTCTTTAAACACTATACATGGCTAATACAGTGGCACATCATGATGGGTGTAAGCCGTGACACCATATGAGACATGTTTAACACCTACATACTTACCCATTCTTCAAAAGTTTAAATGAGTCATCCATCTTTTGCAGGTTAACAGAATTCTCAGAAATCAATAAAATGTTAGAAAATTACACAGCAAATTTATTTGAAACTCAAATAGAAAGAAAACATGCTTAATGCATGTGTATTTTCTTTAAAAGACAAAAATGTAACATATTTTTAATAACCATTAAATCTCATAGATGATACTCTGAAAATGACTTAAAAAAATCATTCTGATGGTACAGCATTACAAGAAAATTAAGATTTAATATTTTTGCTACAGAAATTTTTGTTGTTGTTGTTAAAATTTAACAACACATACACAGAAATTAACAAGAATTGCTCTTAGTAGGCCTTACACCTATATATATATATATATATATATATATATATATTATTATTTTTATAATTTATCTCTTCTTCTTCTCATTCATATGCAATGGACAGACACCTGTTTTTACAAATTATAATATTCTGCTTCTAGAACATGTCAAAATCTGGCAAAATATATAAAGTTTTGGTACTCCAAGTCATGTTCTAAAACTAAGGACTACTGAATTAAAATTGGAAAAGTTGTTTATTAAGCTTTCTTGTAAGTAACATTTTTAATATTTGCACCTTTGCAGACATAAATGTTTAATTTAACCAATCAAATGACAGTGGAGATGACTGCACAAAAAACTGGTTCTGCAAAGTGCAACAATGATGGACACACACTAGTCTTTTCAAATTTCTCAAAACCAAGTACCAAGCACTTGTAACTTTTGGTATCAAAAATAAATCAGTAAGTACTCAAAACAAGACACTACAGGTTTAGGTAAGCAAAAGTTTATATACAATTACATATAAGTATTTCAATATTAAAAATAAAATTATACACATGGCACCATTCTTTAAGAAAATAGTTGAACAAATATTTTAAGACCCTAAAAAAAATTCAAACTGTTCCTTCTCTTTAAATCAACAATTTATCATAAGCTATTATGATAGGCTATTGGAATGATCCATGTGGGGTGCATCACTTCATAAGATCACCATCACACTCAAATATTCCCATCTATTACAAATAAGGTGGAACGCAACTTGTTACACTACATGACCTTCTTTCATTGGTTGATATCCCATTCATGGCATTCTATATGGAATTTCTTGTTCTTTGTATGTATACAAGTAACCTGTAACCCATAATTCTTACCTTTTTATACAGTCTTCAAGTAGAAACAAGCACATTTATCCAGTATAAGTTATTTCTGTGATTTGGTCCACTATAGTACAAGTATCACTCGTAACATTAATGACATGTTACATATGTCAACATGACCCTCTAGTAACTATTATCATGATCCTCGCAAAGTCACTAAAATCCCTCTGTTCTCCCATGATTACTCTCAAATAAATGTACACACCTCATAGAGGGCTAATGAGCTATATGACCACTTAAAGTTTTCATACATTGAACCCCAAGGAAATTTCTATGTTACTTACATTCTCTAATATTTTAGTCAGGTAATGTACACTGAAAATAATAAAACTGAAATCCTAATATATCAATATTTTTTTATGTTTTTAAATCTTTCCAATAAAAACAGAATTATCGATCAGTCATATGCATTACTTCCATGTAAGGTAAGAGTAAATCATAATTATTTAGCCATTACATATGCTTAAAATATATCACAAAATAGTGAAATTCAAAAAAGCCTTCTTATGAAACTTATTTCCATAAAGAAAGCCAAAAAAATGAAAATAATGTTGTACTATCTCTGCTGGACATTCAATAACAGCTGCATTAGGCTGTCATGGTGTGCCCCATAATTTTTACATGTGTTTCTTATTTGTAAAGTTTTCTTTTTTCCCATAATTTGGGGTATTGTGTTCTGAGAAAAGCCTTAATATTGGGTAGTTTTGAGGGCAAAATGTAACACATGCCTAACATGTGTAAAACTACAAAATAATTATTAAAAACTAAATAAACTTGCAAATAAATGCGTTAAAGAATGATCCCTATATTTTATTAAAAATTTCCAAAGAAACCCACTACCAACATCTCCAAAAGTACATGCAGATTATTCTTTAAAAGGCTCTCAATGTTGTTTTAGAATAAGGGTACCTATGTCCCAAGTGTCACTTGGACACTTACTGTTAGCTGATTCACCTGATACACTGCTTAATTGTTGCTGGACTTGGGTTGAGACCAACAGTTGGGTACTTGTTGATAAGCTTGTTTAAATTCTTCAAGAAGAAAAGAACTTTAGGAGAAATATAGGAACAATTCTCACATGACTGACTATAACAAGATAACTATTGTTACAACAGCCGAAGTCGCGCGATGCTGGGAGCATGTGCTGGAGTTCTAGAAAGATCGAGGAACCTGTCAAACATCTTAGCATTTGCTAGACGCCCTCTATTTTGTATATATATATGTATGACTGGCAAGAAGTGACGGGGGAGATAATTGCAGACAGGCAGAGATGGACAATTGAGTCAAGTGAGCGGTAGTGGCCATAAGTAAAGTGCATGAATCGTTGTGAATTATAGAATGTGTTTAAGTTAAAGTGACTGTGGAAATTAAGTGTATTGTAAAGTTATTGAGAAAGAATAAACCAGTTTTATTTAAGAAAGGACTTGTATCGCTAAAGTTTCATCAGAAAGAAATTATACGGGAAATTAACTAACGACCAGAGACGTAACACTATCATACTAAAAATAAAAATAAATGGTGTTCATAGTGAAGTGAAGACAAGAAACATCTATAGCTATAAAGACTAGTCAACAAGTAAGATGTTAAACAATAAAATGATCCAACAATTTGCATGTACTAGAAAATCCAAGATCATAAATTGTAGTAAAACAAAGTTACAGTGCACTTTAAAAATATTTCATGAACTAAACAAAATAAAAGAAAAAAAATATTAAGAAACACTTTATAACAAAGTTAATTACACTTAAATAATATTTATTATAAACACAAAACTACTCATTTTAAAGCCAACTACGATGTTTTATGATAATGAAAAGCTACATAAAGCTTAGATACTTATTAAATTTGAAATAAATTTTCTACAAAACTTTTAGCCAAAAACGTGTATACAAGGTGTTCCAAAAGGCTGGCAATCAAGTTGTGCAGTATGATCTAAACTATTAGAAGTATTGTATTAAATAAAACAAATTAAATTTTGATCAAAGATTTTTTTTTTCTTTTGTGAAATTATTATAACATGCTTTACATTTAATTTATTTTACAAACCAACATGTTTACAAATTGGATAATTTTCTAAATTTTGTAATAAGAAAGCAAAAAAAAACAAAAAACAATTTTTATACTGATTAAATTAATATGTTGAGTTTTTTATTACTGTATATTAGCTACATGTAATAACAATACTTACCATTGAATCTCACACATCTTACAGCTCCTTGTCCACACTGCAGGGATTTAATTTGACACATTTGATGACTCATCTCAATGAAAACTTCCTCCAATTAGTGGAATCTTGATTTTATATTAAAAGAAAACATTACATGTTAAACAAATAAATGTATGTGTGGAGAGAATGGAATTGGCACAAACTGAAAAGAGAATATAATTTAATTCCTAATAAATCAGTGGTTGAATAACTGTTCTAACAGACTAACAGTCTAGGAGATTGCATAAGTTTTTTCTTAATTATTTTTGGATTGACAGTTTTCACAAACTTGTTGAACAATAAAACTTGACAATGTAGTACAGGCATTGAAATAAATGTATACATTACAGATTTTATAGATTCACTTCCCCAACAAATCCTACATCCAAAAAAAACTTTCTGACGTTCCACATCCTCTTCACTTTATAGAAAAGGGAACACAGCCATCATTTATTTACACTAACCTTAGAACTACCTCTATTCAATAGTGGATCAAAAATACAGGAAGCCTAACCTATCTATTCAATAGTGGATCAAAAATACAAGAAGCCTAACCTATCTATTCAATAGTGGATCAAAAATACAGGAAGCCTAACCTATCTATTCAACAGTGGATCCAAAACACAGGAAGCCTAACCTATCTATTCAATAGTGGATCCAAAATACAAGAAGCCTAACCTACGTATTCAATAGCAGATCAAAAATACAGGAAGCCTAACCTATATATTCAATAGTGGATCAAAAATACAGGAAGCCTAACCTATCTATTCAACAGTGGATCCAAAATACAGGAAGCCTAACCTATCTATACAATAGTAGATCCAAAATGCAAGTAGCCTAGCCTATCTATTCACTAATGGATCAGAAATACAGGAAGCCTAACCAATCAAAAAGTGTATATGATGATAATGTTTTTAAATATTTCTAAAAGAATAATGGAATGAGAACTTAAAATTTCCTTTATGCAAAAATGCATTTCAGATAGAAATAAACAGCTAGTACCTTGGTTACACTGACAAAAAGTTTTTGTGCATATGCCATGTTTTGGAACGATCTCTCATCCCTAAATGCATTAATGTTCACTGCACTAGTCTATGATGTAATCAGCATTAGACTATACCTATCCACCAACATGAGGGTGACATCCTTCTTGTGCAATACCCACCTTAAATATTTTGTGTAAAGCAAAAGCTCATTCTTGATAGGAAAATAAGCACACTAGAAATGGGGAGGTTCGTTGGTTCTCTTATGAGACAAGTATCTATCTCAAATCCGTTTTCAAATGAGACCCAAAACTCGAGTGCTTTCAAACAGTTGACTATTCTTCTTCATTCTTTAGTCTCCTAAAGAAGAACAGTCAACTATTCAAAAGCACTTGAGTTTTGGGCCTCATTTGAAAACATAGCCACTTTTGTAGGTGATCCTGTGTGCTAACTTCTTAATCAGAATATCTGAAATACATTATCTTAAAGTAATAAAAATGTTAACCTCACACTGTTATATTTATCTCTTCACAAAACAAACAGATAAAGACCCACATTGAGGATATAGAGGATAGAATACTGTATATAAATAAAAAAGATGAGCTACTTTCTGAGAATAGGGTGACAGAAAGGAAAAACTCGTGGAGTGTCTCCCATCTCTCAAGCAGAGATTACATGTGGTTGGTCAAAAAGGTTTTGTCAAAAGAACATCCTGATCTTTTTTCCTAAAATGTCACAAAAGTTGGGAGGAATATGAAGGCTGCTCAACTAACAGACTGTATAAATAAAGCGTAGCCAGGGTAAAATGTCAAGCCCTACGATATGTGAGAAATACAAGAACATGAAAGTTCAGGTTTGACTCATCCAGCTTATCACAACCACAATGAATTGTCTGGCTCTTAGAGATGGAGGCGATCTGTACTACTCTTCCATGTTGACATTTCTACCCTACTTCCAATCAAGGCATGTGTCCACTCAGCCTCACACTAGTGGGATTACACTGTGTGAAGGGAGATTTCTTCATATTGACACAAAAACCCATTAAAACAAGAAATGAGATGAGGAAGTGTCCAAATATCTGGAAGAAGAGAATGGTGGATGGACTGGTGTTAATAAATCATACACTTGTGTTGATAAACAACAATATTAGATGGCCGACTAGAGAGAGCAGGAAAAACAGACTACTGTGCAAGAGAAAATTGCAAGTCTTGAAGTTGTGGCATGTCCTAGTGAAAGATGAAAGTCTGAGGCTGAAATAACAGGGACTTTCAAAGTGGAAGAGGTAGCCTCCATTGCCAAGAAGAAGGAGAGCAGAAACCATGACCTTCTTGGCCAAAGCTGGGCAATGAGAAGAACATGATAAAAGATGCTGTGAATGAGATAACACCTTGGGAAAAAAATCAAAGAAGTGGGATAGGCACATAGAAAGAGGTTAGGGCAATTAGAACGTCTAAAACTAGAGCCACTGAAAACATACTGAGTTAACCCAAAAAGAAGGGTCTTGAACTGAAACATCTGACCATTTGGGATGAAACAAAGGAAGCACCAAGTGGCCAGATGAATCAATGTGTGAAGAAAACCATATGAAAGACTGATGGTAGTCATACACAATCTTATTGAAATCACACATCATTGGTCAAAGAAACTATCCAAAACAGCTAAGCTTATAATGTTAGAACTTCTTGTGAACTACAAAAAGGGAGTAAAATCCCAGAGAGTTTGAGGACCACTGACTGGTTGGGGGGTGAAGACACAGAGTCCTTCAGGTACCAAAGATGCAAGCAGTCTGAGTAGGGTGGAAAGAGTATGGAAGAAGGGGAAAGAGGAACTTTGGAATGAAAAAACAAGGTAAATTCCTGTGTGACCCAAGGGTCCACTATAAAAGAAGTCCACAAGTGCACAAAACATAAGAGTTGAACTCCCACAGGACTTGAGCCAAGTGACATCTCCAGATGCAAGTCATATACATGCCCCTTTATGACTGATCCATTAGAAAAAGGGATGCCATGAAGAAGTTACAGGATGAGAAGGATAGGGGTGACCCAATGAAACACTATGACAAAACACCTTCAGGATCTCACTCAACTGAGATAAACTGGAAGGAGTTGCAGGATGAGAAGGATAGGAGTGACCCAATGAGACACTATAATGAACTGTGAAAAACTAGAACCTAGAAGAAACAGAGACAATTGCTACAGGCTGCTTTAGCTTGAATGTCCAATGAATGAGTAATCCCCCCAAAAGCTCTTCATGAAGAAAGGGTGCCAAACAAAGGTCCCTGAGATAAGGCCAATGGAGTCAAGCAACAGAAAGTAAGGCATCCCAAAAAAGCCAAACTGAGAAACCAAGTTATGTATGCAACTGTGGAAAAAGAGATTGAGGCCAGCATGGATACCCATTATGTGTAACTTTCCTCAGTAAAGCTGAGTGGATCATGATGCAGAGCCTTAGACTAAAAACTAGAAAGAGACAAAGCAGGAAAGGAAGAACTGCAAGCTGAAATAAGAGATTCAAAGGACTGTGGATCAAAAAAATAATAATGGTTCCAACAAGAAACCACAGAATAAGAGTCTCAGGGTCAAAGAGTATGTGAAAACTGAGATTCAAGCCACAGCTGGGGTATAAAATTGTCCTGAATGCAAATATTAAATAAAGAAGGAAAGAAATAAAGATTAAAGCCAAAGTGACTGGAGTACGAGAAAGAATACAACACCTAAATTGTAAGAGTAGCAAAGAATAAATGTGGGGTTACCTGATCCTTGTGTGGAAGAGAAAAACCAGAAGTAAAGCCAGATGATGAGAAAAGCTGATCAAACTCATCCAAAGATGTGGCAGACTCAGCAGAAGCTATAAAAGCAGAAGGCTGCAAGTACTAGGTCCAAGATTCCTGGGGCACTACTTGAGGCATAATGGTACTAACATTTACTCACTGTCAAAGTGTCTCCAATCACCATTGAAATATTAGATGATGACTCCTGTTGAAGAGAGGTTGGACCTTGGGAGGTTTCAATTATAAAGATATGAAAATTTATCATCTAAATACTTCAAGAAACTGGTTTTTAAATCTTTTGATAATTGAAATCAGAAAACAATATCAATAAAGATAAAAATTCCTATAAAGAATGGTTCCACTTAAGCTCTTCACAAAAATAACTTTGTTTTACTTTCTTTTCTAAAGAAAAATAAAAAATTAAGCAGTGCAGTGCTGACAAAAAGAACAAGCTTTTGGTTTACACAAAATGTTCAAAGGGAGTAATGCATAGGGAGGGTGAGATTCCCTCCTAGTTATATAGGGGTAGGATCTAATGCTGATTGCATCATAGACTAGTGCAGTTCATTTTAATACCTTTGAATTTTATTGTACTTTGAATTGTTTTTATTGTTAGTCTATAAAGTTTAGTAACAAAACTTATACAGGAACAAAAAGTGACATTACACCCAGAAGTGTGATTATTGTGTCACTTGTTTCTTTTTGTCTTACTAGTCTTATAACTTTTTTGAGGATGTTTTCTATTATCTGTATAATGAAAAATGGTCACTCGTATTTTCAGAAAGCTTCCGATAATGTGCCACACAGTAGACTTTCTAAAAAATCACATCATTGGAATTTGGGGGGAAAATTAGTTAATTAGATTGTAGGGTGGCTGGATGAAATGGAAAAAATTATTATTGGAATCCATTCAAATCGTACCTTTGTTACTAATGGTATGCCTCAGGGGTTAGTGCTTGAGCCTTTGCTTTTTCTTATTTGCATTAATGATGCTGATAGGAGCATAATTAGTAAGTTAAAATTAGTAGTTTCTTGATGACATTAAGCTCTTGGGAATTTCTAGCTGTCTTAAGGATGTTCAAGTATTACAAAATGACTTTGATAAATTTTGTAGGTTATACTAATATTTGGCAAATTATTTCAATTATAATATGTACAACGTAAAGCATTTGGATTATCATAACTTAGGTCATATGTTTAACATAGATAGGAAGCCACTCAATAGGGTGACTGAAAAAGAAATAAAGTCATAGTGGATATCTTCAATGAGGTATGTTATCTTTTCAAAATCTAAGTACACTGTGTCCACACCATTTCCATCACCCAGATAACAAGCAACATTTTCAAAAAGAAGTAAACAAATTAGTAAGGCAACATTTCCCTTTAGGGTGCTTTTCCACTACACTGAGCTGCTTGGTCTTAGCTGGCTAGTAACATCTTCGAAAAGAAGTAAACAAATGAGTAAGACAAAATTTCCCTTTAGAGTGTGTTTCCAATACACTGAGCTGCTCTGTCCCAGTGACTAGTGATTGAGCCAGCTGGTACTGAATCTGAACACATTCTGAAACAAATGTGCTGAACAGTCTAGCAATATGTGTCACAGTATTTGTACATAGGTAATCACCAATCGGGTTTCCCAACTGTAAAAAATGGATGCTTTAGAAAATTTCATAGATGTTCTTTAAACATCAAAAACATATTTCAAAACACTACAGGTGAAGAATAAAGGGTGATATTGCAAGAATGAAATTTCATGAGTTTAATGAAAAAAATATACATCTTTTGCAAAGCTTAAACATAGGTTTTTCTCTTATCCAAAATAAAAATAAAGTTTAAGGTAGACTTAATTTAGAAACAAGCAGTAATGAACTTCCAAGATTTGAGAATTTTGATTGAAAATTCCTATTTTATTAAAAGCTGTTCCAGAGTTTATCTTTTCTTCAAGCATAAAGTAAAACCAAAATTACCCAGAATTTCCAAGAAATGTCAAAACTTAAGCCTTGGGAGTTTTCATAAAATAAATCTATTTTTTGAGAATCTTTCATTGGGTTCATCTTTGTAGCAGGAAAACATGAAAAAGAATTTTCAACTAAATGTTTCAAAAATACCAAAGTTTAATTAAGTCTTGGTGATTTTGATGAAAACAAATACAAATAAATGCAAGTATTTTAACAAAAATCAAAATGAGTTTTGAAATCTACAATTTTAAATAATTATTACAAGAGTAAGACTGAAACTTCAAGAGTTTGATGAAAATGAATAATACCTTTTTCAAAGATTAAACAGGAGTTTTCTCTGATCCGGAATAAAAACTAAATTAAAGATGAATTAAAATCTGGAAACAATACTACAGAATACTAACTGTGCAACTCTTATCACCCCTTCTTAAAGACAGGAATAACATTATTAACATTCTAATCCTCAGCCACCTGCCAACTATCTGTCAACCTACCAAAAAAAAAAAAAGAAGGGGCTTGCTTCATTCAGATATAGAATGCTTAGGGTCAAGAATATTGCTGAGATCTTCTCTTGTAAAAAGCAAAGAAAGCATTTAAAAACTCAACTGTCTCATAGTCTTTAATAAAAACCTTGCAATCAGCATCGTTTAAGGGGCCAATCCCTATCCTTTTAGCATTAATAGCAAGTATTTTTCATTTTATAAGCCCAAATGTATTTTCTAACCAAATCCCTACCTTTCCTATAGTTCTGTAAGTCTTCCATTCTAGCTGACAATTTAAACTTCTTGAACATATGGTATCTATCCATTTTCTCTTATCTTTAGTAAGTCAGTTAGGTTTGTACCTGTTAACTTTTCCCTCATTTAAGGAATATGCATATATTGAATTAAAAGAAGTTTTTTTTTTTAATCCCAAATCATCTTTCATCTCAGTTTAATAATGATAAACTATCATCTCATGGTCTTAGAACTGTCATTATAAAATCTAGGAACTGTTATTTCATTTATTTTTTCTCTGAAGGGGCAAACTGAAAAAGAAAGGTCCACCTTTCAAAAGCACTCGGGTTATAGGGTTTTTATTCATTTCATTAACCTGATCAAGTGGCCTATAACAGTTAATAAATTTCTGTCCTGAAATCTCCAACTGTAATATTTTGACTATCATTTTTTATGTCTTCATTTCCAATGGGATGCAGTTCATCTCTTATTTAAAAAGCCACCAATCTTCCTCTTTTGAAAATCCTATCATTATTAAATAACATATAACCTGGAATTTAAAGATAATTTTTAAAGTAAATATTCTCCAAATCTAACAGAATTTCAGTTGCATCCATTACTTCATAATTTTCCATTTCAACTTGACTTCTGAATTCATCCAGTTTGTTCCTGACACTCCTAGTAACAGAATAAAACAAAGCTAATCTTTAAATCTGACAGACTTATCTTTAAAATGTTATTTAACTTTATGCTCTAAACCTTTTTCCAGTATCCTTCTTGCCTTGGCTATCCTATCAATTTGTTTGTTCACAATTACCCAAACTCTTTCATTACTTAACAAGTTTACTTTGAACTTCTATCAAATGATAAGTTGAACAAATAGCTTTCAAATGGTCTATAATCAGAGTAAATACAAAATAATGCATCTGGGAAATCATAATCTTTATCACATTTGATAAAGATGGAATCTTTCGTTGTCCGAAATTTTTGTTGTTTAGTCAGTTTTGACCAGCTAGGAGGCCTTGGGGTGAACAGAACAGTAAAAATAATAATTTTATTGGCCAAACAGGCCCTATGAGGATTTTAAGCATTTTTCCCATTTTACTTTGTCATCAAATATGCATTTCTCTACTTTCTTCCTGAAACCACAGTTGTTTTTATATCTCATGAAAAATACCTTCTTTACTTCAATCTCCCTAATGGATCTCTAGCTTTCTGGGAATCCCTGACTAATTTTTAAACATTATGGGAAATTCCTATGATGTCTGATATGAAAGGATTTCTGGAACACATGAATGGTGGGATCAATCCACATGAAGTGTGACAAATATTAACACTTCAATGGAGAAATACCTAACCTTTTGGTAATAGTAATCTCAAGCCACATTATTTTGTTTTTGTGTTTATCTAGATTAATATAAACATTAAGCATATTTCAAGGGTAATTTAATCAAAAACTGTTATTTTCAATTAAAGTTTTCTTTAATGTTACACAATTAAATCTGATAAGGACCAGTTAGAATTTATTTTAAGGAACAATTAGAAATTTTTGCAAATTTTAGACCTGGAACCTATTAAATAGGCCAATAGCAAGGCTGTAAAAAAAGGGTCTAGGCTTAGTGGTCACTTAAGCCATTGTGGCAGTGCCTGTTGTTAGGAATAAAGCAAATACAATTTAAGGTATATAATTATCTCTTTATACAAATTCTAGTTAAGGCTTCAGATTGAGTACTGTGTGCAATCTTGGTCTCCTTAACTAAGAATGATGTTGATCTATTGGAAAAGGCTGATAAAAAGTCTACCAGAATCGAAAGTTTATATTACAGAGATAAAGATTTCTTAAGGTATTTCTGATGAGAAAAGATGAGTAAAAAACACATGTTGAAACTTACAAGATTAGAGAAGAATCAATTGAGTAAAGGCCTTTGATTTCTTTCTGTTGTATTCTGAAGACAACAGGATGAGAAAACACAACTTTACAATCTTCAAAAAATAGGCTATGCTCAGAATTTTATCCTCCTTAGAGTGATTAGCTTTTAGAGCAAATTGCCATCAGCAGTAGCATAGGTCAACACTTTAACTCTTTGGATACTATAATTTGATTTATCTGACTTGAAATTTGTACCCATTTGGTGCAACAGGCAGATTTACCACAATGTGTCACAAAAACTTTTCCTTATAATGTGACAATCAGGATACTCACATATCCTTGAATTTCCTGCCTTAGTACCGTGTGTGTGTAAATCACTGAGCAAAAGTGCAACTAGTGGATTTTGATATTCAAAACATACTAAAAAAGGTCAAATTTAAATTTCATTTGTTAGTGGATAATTGAAACCTTTCAAGAATCCACCCAAAATTTAATTATGCACTCAAAGGGTTAAATAAGTTTATAAGAGGTATAGAGGATTTCTTGAAATATAAATGGTAGATTTAAATCTTTGCTTTTTCTCTGGGAAAAGCCTTGACTGACCAGATGTTCCCCATATAATATCTCATTATGGAATCCATACACAGCCTCCCTAACCCCCAAGTCTTATGGATGCTAATTTCTGGTTCTCTTAAGTTTTCCTATAGCTATTCTAGGAAGCTTATACGTCCCTTCCTATTAACATAAAATTCTTGTTAATATCTTTTTGCATGACTTTCTCCTTGAAGTTGAAACTATATTTTGTCCCTTCCCAAAAAACATCAAAGCTTATCCTCTAGGAAATTGTCTTTTTTTTCTCTATTTCCCTACCTATTATCTCTGGCACACTACCTGTAATTAGAGTAAAATATATTTTAACTTTTATTTTTAAGTCTACTTGTCTTACTCTTAGGCGTAACACTATTTAAGCCTTTATTAAGTACGGCCTAAATTAATTGTACCTTGTGTGCGTTTTTTTCTCTTTAGTTTAATTTAGTTAGGGCTAAACTTTACCGTACCGTACTTAATATATCAATAAGTAAACTTATACTGTTATAGTGTTATTCTAGTTTCTACAATCTAACGTCAGATCTTTTAAGAACTTTGATAAGCTCTGAATTATAGTTAATATGTCATTGTACAAAATATTTACTAAAGTATATTTACATCCGTTGAAATGAAAGGTGCGCACATTTTCGTAACAGACAAAAACTAAGTATCATTGAAATATAGATAACTTTTATTTCTAAGTCTCAGAATCATCACAATGCCAGAACCTACTTTTACCTGCAAGTTAGGCTAGTATAAAACCAAGATTTATCACTTACGTCCAGTAACTGGATGTGACGAAATAACTGAGTATGTGTCTGAATGTTAGATTAACTTTATCATTCCTGATTCAAATTCAGAGATGTAAATATAAGCCAGAAGCATTCTCTTAATAAAAGTTAAAGTATTATATCAAAGCCTGGTGAATCTCTTGAAGTTGTTGGCATTTAATAGTTTTCACCGTATTAACCAGTTTGACTGATAATATCGTATAATCTGAAGCATGAACTTAGTGTTTTAACATAAATTTAGAAAGAATAAAACCCGCTAAATGGTCTCTTAAAAATATAATTCAACTAAAAATTTTAAAACCCTACTACAACTGCACTAGATTTGAAATGCTTGTTCACAGACATTAAAAAATTGGCTGATAATAATACTATAAAAGTTGTTAAGTTTGAAATACGAGAAAGTGAAACCAAATGTAAATAAGATACTACTATCAACAATAACAATTCACCAAGTGATCTACAAAATTTTCTCTGAATCTATTACTTAATTGTCATATTTTCCGCTTGCCACGAGATTCAGAACTTCAAAAGAAATCCGCTAAAGGACAGAAAAACATTGCCCAGTTATCGTGTTTATATAAATTTATATGAATACTAGACGACCCATTGGGTCAACCACTATTCAGAGGTTATGAAGAATTCAAGCTAATTTCAATCTTGCACCGAAATGAAGGTTTATTTGAGATAATTTAATTAAACATTTCAATCCATTCAAGAAAATATATTTGATTGTTGATCGCGAGTAAAAGTAAATACCATTTCATTTTCCAAAAAAGTGAAGTCAGAGTTTTCAAGTATTGTGATGAATTAGTTCATTATGTTGT